ACTGTGAGATCTGCCTTTCTAACAGATAGTTTTACATTCCAAATGATGCTTAAAGCAGAGAGGTGTTTTCTCCCAACAGGGCAATGCCTTCCAGAGCCTTCGGAAAGCAGATATTGTGGCAAGAGAGAAGATGGCTGAATTGGTCGAAGCCCAGGCAGAAAGGATTTCAGCCTTAAAGGAAGAGATTGCTCTTTTGCGCAAGAAAGGAGGTCTCATCCTCCCACCCATTCTGGCTACACAAAAGAATGAATGAARTGAGCCCCATGAACCTTTAGGTCTGCTCTTTTCTCAAATCTGTCCAAGATCTCTGACATGATTCACCAGAACTTTTGTTTCCTTGTCACCTGCAACAATCCTATTATGTTAAAGTCAACTTACCTAAAAATCAAAAACCAGATCCTGTTATGTAGTTTTAATAATTTTTCTCCAACTTGGTTATCTTCGAACTGTCTGCTGCACCCGACATCTAATTATTACTGCACTGAACCATTTTAGACATTTAGACCCTGCTGGATTGAATATAAAATCTCAGAAAGCCGTATATCAGAGTTGCCAGAAAGTGTCTRTAATGTATTCTGCTTTAGGAAAATGTGTTTTTCCAGTATTCTAAATATTTAACCATTGGCAAGAAAAACTATCATTTAGCAATTTGTGAGAAAACTTCCTTTTCTTGGTTCTTGAATCCTTAGAAAATAAACTTTGTTTGTGTTATAGATTCTCTGAGAGAACACAAGRGAAAAAGAAACTATTTGCAAACAATATCTTAGAATAAGAAATATAAATTGGAATTTTGGCATTGTTGACTTCAGAAAGCAGTGCTTTGAGGGCTGRGATTCAGAAAGTGCAGACAGACACAGCAAAGTAGCTCTCTTTAGTTTGCTTTGGGTTGGCAGAAAGCAGAAAAGACACCAGCTTCCTGAATCAAACTCCCCAGTTCTGAGCAGAGCAGAGGAGCAGATTTTACAAAATAGTTAATCAGGGGATTTTCTTTGTAGATTTTTTTTTTCAGCTCCATCAGTATCCTAAGTATCCCTGTACTTACTTATGTCCTATGCCATCATCTTATAGGTTTGACTTGTCATTTGCTGATTTTGAAGAAATTAAATAAATTTACATCTCTCCAGAAGTCCTCAGTAACCCTCACTTTCAATTATGCATAACATTTCTAACTAATTTAAGAGTATCTTTTGATTGAAATTCGTGACTGCAACCATTGAAGAATAATCTCCCCAACACTTGATTCTAATTAGTAACAGAACATGGCACTTTGAACTCAGAGCTCTGTGACTCTGTACTAATGAGCTTAGTTGAGGCTGTCCCAAGGTATAAGTTGGTCACTAAGAAGGAAAAGTGAAGGAGGCAATACTTGTATTGCATAAATGTGGAAGGCAATTCTGCAAAGCCATAACTTCCTAACCTGTGGTTAGACTGCTAATCTGCCCCACAAAAATATATAGACTGGATTTGCTTTCTTTGTATGTTAGAGTATTTTTAGAGGGTGGTCATTTGGCCTATTGTCTAAGATCCTTTTACATTCCCATTTAAGAGGACACAATCATTTATTATTTGTACCTATCACTATAAATCTGTAATAGTAGCTTCTCTACTGGAGAATATCTTGTCATTGCTTTCTCTGTGTACCCTGAACTATCTGTGCCTTTCAAGCATTTAAAAAAAAATGTTCTAGTTATGACTCTGAGTGTTTTTATTTATTATTGTATTAAAAAATAACTCTAAAACTTAGTTAAAAAACATTATCTTACCCAGAGGATTTCTGAGGCTCAAGTATCTGGAAACCAGCTATGCTGTGCTACATACTTATATCCCAGAGGCTTGGGAGGTTGAGGCAGGAGGATCACGAGTTCAAAGCCAGCTTCRGCAAAAGCAAGTCACTAAGCAAGTCAGTGAGACCTCGTCTCTAAATAAAATACAAAATAGGGCTGGGGATGTGGCTCAGTGGTCAATTGCCCCTGAGTTCAATCTCCAGTACCCTCYCCTCCAAAAAAGGAATGTGGGAACAGCTTAGCTGGGTGTCTCTGGCAGATGTGATATACCATCACCATTGCCAAATGGTTCCCACAGGCCTGCCCTGGTAAGATGTGGAGTAGATTGTGAATACCAGGCAGTGATCACTGGGGGTTATCATGGGGCTGGATAAAGTTGGTCTCTGAATGCACTCTTCAGGAGATACTATTCCATTTGCATCATAGGAACCATAAATTACATAATCTTTCTGGGCCTCATTTTATTATCTGACAAGTGAGGAATTTGGATAAACTCAATGCCTCTTTCCCACTCTGAAATTCAATGATTCTAATTGTAGCAAGAGTGGATTTAGAATATRTGGAAGAGCGGTGTCAAGAATTCTATACACATTTCATCTTAAGAGTAAAATCAATCAAGATTGTTTTTATCCCACCTTGAGCTAGACTAAATCTCAGCCACGAGACCAGCACGCTAGCTTCATATTAGAGGTTTGAAACATAGAAATTAACTAGTGAGTTCAAATTAAAGACACATAACTCTCAATTTACCTTTTTCTTGCCCAGCTGAGAGACGGCTTCTCCCAGGTCTTGCCTCTAGCCACCTGATGCAGTAGCGAGGTTTACACAAGAGGCCAGCAAGAGAGAGAGAAGCACGCCAGGGAGTGAGCTTTTATTGAGGAACAAAAAATTCAGGGGAAAATTCCATCCAATGAAGGTTGAGGGGGGCAGCATTCCAAGGTCAGGGTCAGTGATTGGTTTTTTAGGTCAGTGGTCAGTCACACCCCCACACGGACAAGCCCTGGCACCTGGGGCAGGGTGGGGAAGGCTCTGACACAGTGTGTCTAAGCACCTCACACCCAGCCAGAGAGGTAGCTCAAATCACATGCAAGAACGGCTTCCCACATAAATCTACAATACAATAATGAGCCACAATATTCAGGGCTTTGCCCAGTGTGTTTGGGATTTGACAATTTAGATAACACTCCATTATTTTATCTTGAGTTGGACACGATGTCTAATTAACTTTACTTGCATTTCTGCTCAATTCCAGTTGATGTCTTGAATCTGTAATTAAGTATTACCTCTCATTATTTGGAAATTTAAGCTTCAAACAAAACCATCAAGGTGCAGCCTGGGCAGAGGTGGCTGGAAAGCTACCCYGCCCCCTCCCCGTCACACTGTTCTCTGCCTCCTCCAGTCAGGGAGCAAGCAGCCTCACCTCTGAGGGCTAAGCCAGATGTCACCCTGAGTTACTTGTGGATCAGTCATTAATATGACTTGGCCATTTTGAATTGTCATCTATAATATCATTGAATTGAGGCACTGAAAAAAAAAAAAAAGAAAGAAAGAAAAACAGTGGATGAGTCCAGCCCCTGGGTCACCACTTCACAGAAGGAGTTCCTCCTTCTTATGAGTCAGCCTATCCCRTTAGAGAAGGTTCTGGACCTCAAAGGTCTGTGGTCCTCAGCTGACCTTTGTCCCCCACCATCTCCCACCCAGTAGGTCTTCCTTTTCCCATCAGCAATTTATGTAGCCATGGAAGACTAAATCAAAACTTTCAGGAAAGTATAATAATTAATTGACCTGAATCTCAAGAAATACAAAATACAATGAAGTTGAATATCTGAACTGTTTAATTTCCTGGACTAACATTCAAAAGCCTGATATCTTTTTTTTTTTTTTTTTTTTGGGCCAGGAATTGGCTTAGTATTTATCTTATTTAACCTGCCTCAGAAGTACTGATTGATTGATTAGTTGATTGATTGATACCAGGGATTTTTTTTTTTTTTTGAGAGCTAAAATCTTTCAGTTTGCCCAAGGCTGGGCAAAAAGTAGGTATTTTATATATCACTTCAATAAAGTTCACCAAAATCAACTTTAACAATAAACTTAGATCCTCTATGAGAAGAAACAAAGGGGAAATTTTTAAAAAAATAACTTTCATAGTAAGTTATTTAAAGCTCAGACTTGAGGTTACCTGGATTAATTAACAAAGGTGGATTGGAAACATTAGTCCCACCCCCTCCTGGAAGTAGCCCTCAAAGTCAGATTGTGTCTGAAATCATGATCTCTTTTTTCTTTCCTCACAAAATCTACTTCTACTTCTCCCCTTTTTTATGTTCCTTATAGTAATGTCAATAAATACACTAAAAATGCTGTTTAGAGTTCTTTTTCAAATTAGCTGTTTGATGGGGGRAAAGATGTAAGACTAAGGAAGAGAAGGTGCAGTATTACTTCTTGCCAGCAGAGGGTGCACTCACCCTGACAGTCAGAGTGCACCAGGTCCCCGGGGATTCCTATATCAAATTCTGGCACAATTTTAGGGAGATTAAGTGTCTCAAATAGCATTTCATCTGTAACTCAGTTTTTCTTAAATATAGAAAACACCCTCCCACCCACCAAAAACTTAAAGTGTGTTAAGACATTGCAAGCTTCAGCCTCCACTTAGTTCTAGTTCCCTATATAAACGTTTTAAAATTTCAGTTTCAAAAGAGAATCTATGATACTTGGACAACAGTAAGTAAATGTTGATTTTAAAYGAGTGAGTCAACTCCCCCAGCAATGCTGGTTCATCTTCAGAATTTGTCAGGCACCACATGTAAGATGGCACTTAACTAAATGGTATTTTGGAAGAAACATTTGGTCTTCAATCTACATAAAAAGGATGTTTCATTCGTCTGGTATGACCAAAGCTTTACTTCAAGCCCAGGCAGTAGAGAACTACGAATTATTTCTCCCAGCCTATTGTACAATGTCTCCCTCTTGGAGTAAACAGTTATTGATGCATTCTGCATTCATCGAAACACAACTGATGTTCGGTGTTTAAAAAGAGAAAAAAGAAAAACATCTGCTATCAATTCCAGACTTCATTGCTTGATGCATCTGAAACATCACAAGTGGATATTTTCTCCAGTGATTCAAAGACCAAACCCTAATGTCTAGAGAAAATGCTGACTCATTCATGACTCAGTTGAAGGTTACAGGGAAGACTAAACATTTATTTAGAAGTTACAGTGTTTGTTTTTACAGAGATATGTTGCCACAGATTATTGACTCTGGAACGTTTGTTAATGCTTATAGTGCTGTACATGTCTCAGTCTGTTCTCAGGGCACCTTAGTTCATAGTGTTCATGAACAATGTGCCTAGGACCCTGCCTTCTACAGCTGCAGGTCCTGYAGGAGTCCGTACCCTGGCCAGTCTRCCTTCCTCTCTCCTGGCTGACACCTGGTATGTTGTGGCTTGTTATCCCTCTCACACCTCAATGGGGGAGGATTTCGTCTCTCCAGAATTATAAAAACACATATACATTTATTTACAAGTGCATAAATATATAAATATGGCTATAATAGAAAAATAAATACCAATTTTCTCTGTCTCTTTTAAAAAACAAACAATATATAGTCTGTCTGGGATATTGGCTTCTGCCTAAACTGTAGGAGGTGRCGTTTCAAAAGACACATGCACCGATGGGCCAGGGGAGAGCTGCATCCCAGGTTCCCGTCCTGTGTAGGCTCCCGAAGGGTGCTGGGGGCACCAGTCTCCTCCACCCACTTGGCAGGAGTCAGGACTGTCCACCTCTTCAACTGGCACAAGGCCCAAGCAGCACGGGGTCCCTGGCAAGGAAAGAAAGTGGGAAACATTAAAATGCAGACTAAYCAAGTGGTCCTGGGCCAGTCTACCTGTGGAGGGAGCTGGTCGCACTGGCTCTAAAGGAGGGACAGAAAACTACAACCAAGACAAGGAATTTGTGTGCCCTGCAAGGACTCTCACTCACGTGGGGAGRGCCCCTTAGGCTATTCATGTGCCACCTGGCCTGGGACCTGGGAGTGTGGAGACTCTCAAGCTCTCAGCTCGCATACTGATCAAATTGGAGGAGCCCATGGAAGAAAGCCCTGCTCTTTCCAGATTCAGGCTGTTGGCCCACCTTTTGGTATGGTGCAAACCTCCCCCTCACAATGCATTCCCCTCAGACTGACCTAAYCCAGTTTTCATGGCACTGTGTCTGGCTCTGGGAGGTTACTTTCAAAATGTAATGTCCCAGAGACAGGGTCTAGGATCTGTGTCTGAAGGGACATGCACACCATGGAGGCTAAGAAAAAGTAGTCAATCCTCTAACTAGCCTGTGCCCTAACCAAGCACCCAAGGACTTCCAAGGAGGCAGCACAGAGGGAGAGTGRGACAGGGTGGCATGAGTGGCCCCAAGCCCCATGGAGAGAAAGTTCTGTAGAAGCACAAAGAGTCAAGATGATGATGTTGGTAAGAACTTGGCTTGGTAACGATGCAGGCAGCTTATTCCTTAATTAAGAGACAAGACCCAACAAAGCAAGTGATTAGAGGTTCTTATGTGATGAGAGGCAAAAAGAATTTGTGAATGGCCTTGAAACGCAGAGACCAAACAGCTTCTTCCTCTGAACTGGAATGGTGTCCTTCCTCTCAGCCTCTGAGGACCACCGATGGCAAGGCTGGCATCAGGCTGGCCTGGTGTGCCCCCACAGACCTCCCAGGYCTTCAGCAGGGAAGCACAGAATCCACCAGCCCCACTACCTGGCCTTCCCTTCAGCACCCGAGGAGAGTTCCTACCAAACTCTATTTTTAAGATTGTTGTCTCCCCTCCTCCAAGTCACTACTGGTCAGGTCATCCCCAGTGTCTTCAGTTTCTCTACCCTGCCCAGCTAACCTGAGTGAAATGGAGGGTCCCACGCGGCTTCCAGGCCAGGACTCTCGGGGGCTCTCCTCATTCCTGCCTGGCCCGCAGTGGCAGGCTGCTTTGGGAGGTGGCAGCAGTCTTGGGGCTGGAGCAGCTGGTGGGTGGAGTCATCAGGCAGTGTGTACAGGAAAGAGCCCTCATCTGGGCTAGACTTGGGACCCCTGCAGTGCCCAAAACAGACGGGGGCAGTGAAGCAGGGGCAGAGTGGGCCTGGAMCCTCCCCCATCCACTGGCGACTTCGTGTCTGAGGGGGTCAGAGCTGRTCAGAGCTCCGATGGGTAAGGACGGTGCTCCTTTGGGCATCATGAGGCATCGCACTGTTTTCCCACGGTTAGTTCTAGTCCTGTTCCATTTTATCTCATGTGGGGCATGTGAATCAGGTGTTTAGGACTGTGGGCAAATCCAGTTGTTTCTGGTCTACCCAGTAAGGATTCTGAGAAGAAGCCACCTATGCACCCCCAAAATGAAAGGGAATCATACCCACAAACACAAAACCAGCCCATAGGGTAAGGGCCCTGCAGAGCAAAGCCGGCAGATTTGAGGAACCCTGAGTGAAGCATTTCTGGGCTCTGTGAGACTGACACTGGATTTGAGGAGATAAAGAGAGAGGCTCTGGGGCTTGGAAATTAAAGAAAGGGCCAGGAAGGGTCTGGCTACCTGGTAATCTGGTGGCTCTGGGGGTCATATCCATTGCCAAGAAGGGTCTGCCTCAGCAGGCTGTTGGTGTCATCCTGCTGCTCAAAGGAAAGAATAAGGAAAAGATCAGGTCAAAGGATCAGGAAACTTACTGCTCACTTTTCAGGAGGATGAACTCTTGCTGATGAAAGGAAGCCTGGCCCAGCYGCCTGGCATGAGAAGCCCCCAAAGGCAGCTCAACCACGCCCTCCTATCTTGGGCCGCCCACCTGCCCAGGGGCTATGTTACCTGCTGAAGCTCCCCTGGGCAGTGCTGCTGAGGTTTCATGCCTGGGTAGCCCACTGCAGCTGCAGGGCAGCCCCGATTCACATGTGTCCCATTGGTGCAGGCCCGTCCACTGATGCCACCTAGGTACGGCTGTCCACTGACTCGGTGGCCAGAGAGTCCTCCCAATGGCACCATAGTGTACTGGCAGGAGGAGGACAGAAGGGCACTTCGAGGAAAACCCAGGTCTGTTGTGTGTTCTGAAGAACAGAAGGACAGGTGTGCTTAGGCCAAGGAAGCCTCGGGCAGCCTGAAATAGCCCCACTGGCCTGACCACACAGGGTCCAATGACGAAGGCGGGGAGATGACACCATCCAAGGGGTGGAGAATGTTTCCCTCAGAACCTTCTTCCTGACTCCTATTTCTTCCTAACTTTTTTTCTTATGCAGTGAGGACAGGAGKGGGGAGAACAGGGGTAAAGGGTGGGGGGAAAGCAGTTGAAAAAGAGCATGAAGTGAGGGTGGGCAGCCACACGTGTCGCCATTTGAGACACATTAGCAGGTGGAAGCAGGGGAAAGGGGAACGAACGCTCAAGGTAGCTCCAGGCCCAGAACAGAGGCAGCAAATGGCTGCTGGGAAGAGGCAGGGGCAGTTGGCAAACGTGAAATGAGGTCAGAGAGGCAGCTTCGGCATCAAAGAGGATGGAACCAGGTAAGCACTGAGCTGGAGACACCGAGAGGGCAGACCAATGTCTGCCTCTTCACACTCCTTCAGCCCAGGGACAGGATCTAGGGGGCATGTGCCCAGTCTGGGGTATTCCCTGGCTCTGGGAGACCTCCAGGGGCCCCTGGAGCTCGAGCTGCCCCTGGATGTGGAGTGGGGCATCACTGGCCTTGAACTGGGCAGAGGCTCCCTCTCCAGGCTCCTGATGTTACTCACTTTGCTTAGACCAGGCTCTCCACAGACAGAAGGGGATGAAGGTGACAATGATGAGGACGATGGAGCCCAGGACGACCCCGACAATCAGATAGGGCAGATCGCTGGCCCGTGCCACCATAGCCCCGGTGCCCACTGGCCGCTCGATGGTTTCCAGAGGTGGTGGCTGAGGTGCAGCCAGAGTTGGGGGTGGGAGTCTACCAGGCAGACCCGAGGACTTCCGAGCTGCAATGGTGGACAAAACTCACGTCAGTATCTATTTCTTTGACATTTCCCTCCCAAGTAATTGAAAAAGAGAATACCCCAATTCCACGGTATAGGTAACGGGATGAAACTCAACATAGGGCCTCACAATTCCTTATTTTGAATTCCTTATTTGAATCATGTCCATACTCTGCTTGAAATTGGTATCCATTATGAGATTTGGTGGTATTGAGGAGACCTGAACCTTATATTTCAAAATACATTTGTGAGACCGGCACTGGGTCCGTCTGACTGAGCAGAAGTGGCTTTGTTTTTTAAAAAAGAATAACTGGGGACCTTTTGGGAGAAAATATTAACAACTCACAAAACCAGCAAAAGAATTGGGAGTGGAAGAATTTAAAGACAAATTTACTATTCTGGGTGGATGAAGGAATGTGACATAGGAGGCTTTCACTCAGGATGCAGAGCATTTGGGGACTTGATGAGACAAAGAGAAATTCGGAGATGCCAATTCAAAGGTGGAAAGTCAAGGTCATAAGTTTCCYATCTGGGTTTTGCTGTTATAGTGTTTCTGACATGATTCACTCTTTCACAAATCTCTCCTCCCCCGACTTCCTGGGGCCTCCAGCAAGTGATATTCCACCATTTTCCTGCCTCTTCCTTCTGCTTCCTCAGACCTGGAGAACTCTCCCTGGCTCCTCTTGGTCCACTGCCTCTATGTGTTCTCTCCTAGTCCCACCATTTCCACCTATATCCTAAACCCTCCCATATCAATGTCCCCATGGGACCCCTGCCCCCAGGCAGTAGACTTTCCACTTGGGAATCAGATATTCAGTCAATCTTCAAGAGGTTTTGCGTTGTCCTATCTCATGAAAACTGTTTCTCTGTTTGAAATGACAATAAAGGGCAATAACACCTGAAGCTCTTTTAAGTTAAAACCTAGAAATTTACTTTTAGCTCTTTTCTGTCTCCTAGCCCAGCATGCAATCAGTCCTGGTCCTGCCCACATCTCCTCAGAAAAGTGGTCAAACGATTCTCATGTCCTTCATTTCTGGGCCCCAGTTCTCTCCCAGCTGTCTACCCCTTGCAGGGTTACTGGTGGCCCTTCYCAGCAAACAAATCCAACAACGACCCTCCCTCACTCCAGAGCCTCAAGAGGTTCCCATTGCCGACCAGGAGCTCAGCCTCAGGTCCTCAGGACCCGCTGCCTGCCATTGTCTCTGGCCTCTTCTCTGAGCTTCTCTCTCTCATCCTCCCACTGGACGCTGCAGCCATCTGTGATACTTTCAGGCTTGACCTATCCCCAGGCTACCCTCTCCTCATTTTAGCCCAGAAGACCAGCTTGAAGGCTTGGTGAGCCTCTGTTCTTTCTCTGGGGGCCTCTCTGTGCCACCTGATGCAGGATATGGGACTTTGCATGTATCTGCCACTCCTGTCCCTGAACCTGGGGGAAGAGGGCAGGAATGGACACTGCAGGTCCTCAGCAGGTATTTGAAAGCAATGCAAAGTAGGAAAAAGAATGTTGATGTCTCAAAGACTGAAAAAACATGTTTTTATCTCCATTTCTATTYGTTTGTGATCTTATCCTGATTATGTCTTTTGCAATATAACTGCTTAATCTCACCTTCAGTATTTAAAAAATGGAGATAGTGTTATATACCCACCTGACCAATGTGCAGATATTAACAAGTTGCTATTTGAATATGTTTGACATGTTTTATGGTGAGAAAGAACCCAGGCTGGTAGTTAGATGGACCTATTCCAGAGTCACTGACTGGCCACATGATCTTGGCCAATGTATGCAGTTTCCTGAGGCTCAGTTTCTTCCTCATCTCATGAGGTTTTAGTTTCTCAATTAAATAAATCAACCAATATAAATACCATATATCATGGCAGGAATCAAGTAATTATAAAAAAGTTCCCAACTTAACAATGAGTTTATGGATAATTCCAAAGTTCTCTGAAATCATCCTGAGGGTGACTCACTTATCCTTAACACGAGGCTCAAGCAGAAGGGTGAAAATAAGGAGTCTTCTTGAGAAAGAGACACCCAGCATGGTGCGGAYAGTGACTGGGCCCTACCCTGCTGGAAGTAGCACAGAGGGAGAGGAGAACCCAAGGAGAATCACCTTTGGTCTCACAGATCATCACGTTGCTGAACTCACTCTCTCCGCCTTCATTGAAGCACTGCATCTTAATGTCGTAGGAGGTCTCTGGCTGCAGGTGGCTGATAGAGTGCCAGTACCTATCCCCTGGGAAAGACGGGGAGAAAATTGTGCAGGGTGAGGTAACTGAAAATCTGACTTTGCCCAGATCTCATGGTCGGACTCAAGGCTGAACGTCTGGGCTGGTGCCCCTGAGATGGTAGAGACACACAGGAGGGAATGTCCCAGGGGTCCRCCTGCATTCCCATTGTCTACTATCATTATGGGAAGGGATAATGATAACTGAACAGATCTGTGTGTATCCTGACTCTGTGGCATGGAGCACAGATGTTTTGTACTATGCCAGATCCAGGTTTTATGCTTTACCAGATGTCACCAACAACCAGACCCCTTGCCGGTAGACGAAACCACACCAAGTGCTTCTCACCTTCCACCATGTCCTTCTTGTAGTCACTGTCATTGTCACTGTCTGTGGGTCGATAGTAGATATAAAAGCCATGGATTGGGGTGTTGTTGTTACTTGCTGGGATATACTACAGGAAATGGAGAAGAGACATGTTGACAGTGGAGCAGAGACCTCGTCATCAGAGCAAAACGGCTGGGGTGTGGAAGTGCTACCCCAGTCTAGAGTGTGAACTGCACTGGGGGCCCCTGGCGAACATTCCTGATGCAGTCCCTGGGGTTCTCTGAAGAAGGCTGTGGAGATCACACATTATTTCATTTTGCCTAGAGGTCCCCAAGCTTCTGGAAACAGATTTCTTCAAAGACTTCAGTCCCTCCTGAGCCTCCCTGGGCAGACAAGGGTCATTATCTCTGGTTAAAAAGAGACCCTAATAATTGTGCTGGGGTTCTCTGTGGTGTCAGGAAAACGGCAGGAAGGAGGGTGGGTGGAACCAGCTTGGGGTATCTACTGGGTCAAGGCACCAGACCCAACAGGAGACCCCTAATAGCAGCTGCCAAGAGCCTCCCAAATTCTACCAATCAGGCTTTCTGGTGCACTGTGGGGGAGCCAGTTCTCAGGCACATAGAGGAAGGGACATATAGGGGAGGTGTCTTAGATAGGGGCTCAGGCCGCAGAGGGACCATCTACCAAGTTCCTACCCGACAGTAGCTCTGCCCCTTCTTCCCATGGCTGTCCATGGCAAGGTCACTTACCATCCACTTGAGCATGATGGTGGTCTCATTGACAGCGTCCGTGAAGGTGATGTAAGGACCTGCCACTGGCCTCTCATACACGCGGCCACCATAGCCTGACACCATGTAGGGCCGGGAGGGGGCACTGGGCTCGCTCTCCCCCAGCATGTTCAGAGCTCGGACTCGGAACTTGTAAGAGGTGCCTGGTGAGAGAGACCCATGGGGACTCAGGAAAGGCCTTTTCATTCCCCCACAGCCCAACAGGGCCCAGCCTCGAGGGATGTTTTGGGCAGCCCACCCCAAGAGCAAGTCCCCAAAGGACTCACAAGAATGCCCATCCTCGTCAGAGAGGAATCACACAGGACTGGTGGCTGGAGGACGGAGCAGCGAGCCTCCCGGGCTCATTTTCTTCTTCAGTGTGGCCCAGGGCAGCCCAGGGATTGGGCAGGAGAGTGTCCAGGCCCCTACCTTTCTCTAGGCCTGTGATTTCCACCGAGAGCCGTGAGGGAGGGATGGCATTAGTGGCCAGGATCCAGTCTCCCACTTTCTTTAGCTTCTTGTACTCCACACGGAAGGACTGGATCGGGAAGCCACCATTCCCACGGGGAATCCAGGTCACATACACGGAGGTCTCAGAGGCCATGGAGATAGTGGGCCTGTCTGGAGCTTCTGGGGCTATGAAGATCATGCCCAGGGAGGGAGACAGGGAGGAAGGAAAAGGAGGGGGACACTGTGAGACGACCCTGTTTTCTGATTGGACTGGCCTGCCCCAACAGGGTCTGCACCTCCCCTCAGCACTCCACCCACCATCAGGTCCTCCAGCGCAGGAGAAGCCTCACACCAAGACCCCTTCAGCTACTCATGCCAGAGTGCGAAGGGCCAAGGGCCAGTTACTGTCCTCCGCACCCCCCCATCCCCCGCTGCTCTCTGGACCCACAGAGTAATTGTGACTCCAGCTTTTAATTTGAAAAGCTTCAATCTGTATTTTCTCATTATGGTCAGTGGGGGAAATGCCAAGAAAATGTCTTAAAGACTTCTGGATCTTCAGAACCAAAACCTCATTCGACCTGCAGCAACAGGCACAACAGGGTGGTCCAGTTTTCACTACTCCTCACCCCTCCCCACCCGCTGATCCCAACTGCTGGGGGCTTACGGGAAAGGCGGCCATGATCTGGCTGGCTGCTGCTCTGGGGGCCGGCTCCAGGGTCATCTCTCTGGATCTGTTGCTCCTTACTGGCTATGATCTCAGGTTTGGGACGCCGCCCTGGGTGGAAATAGGTTGAGATCAGCAAGGGGCACAGCAGGCATTAGATCTTCCCACAGAGTCCTTTTTGTCTGAGACTCTGAAAAGGACTGCGACAAGGTGAGGCAAGTAAGAACACAGGATGCTGACAGTGAGGTCAGATGGCAGTGCTGCCCGATACTGTCATGGTGTACCACCAACTCCATGACAAAGAGGGCCAAGAGATGCCAAAGAGGCCAGCTGGTCATTCTGATGAGGCGAGAAACCTCAGTCTGGGCACCCAAGCCACAGGGAGACAGCAGTGGAGAAGGAGGACAGTGCACTCAGGGACTGGGTGGGGCAAGGTGGGCAGGATTTCCCACCCAGGCCTGGAACAACCTGCTTGGCTGTGGAAACCCCAAGCTGTGCCCATGTTGACCTTACCAGTTCGGAAGGTGACCATTGCCGTCTGGCCCTCGCCAGCACAGTTGTAAGCTGCCATCTCCACTTCGTACAAGCTCCCTGGGTCGAGCCTGGTGAGGGTCAGGCGGTGCTGGCTGGCTGGAATGCCAGCGATGGTCCAGTCATCAGAGGAGTTGGTGACCTGCTGGTGAAGGTGGTTGGTRTAAGGACCGGCATCTCCCCCTGGTGCTACAGGTGGCTGTGTCTTGTAAGCACAGTAGAACTAACAGGTGTAGGTCAGGTGGAGAGGATGGAGAACCAATTTAGGAGCAGGTGGCACTGCAGAGCTCAGACTGGCCATCAACCTCACTGGGGTGCTCAGGTTGGGCTTCCTGGTCTCCCCATCTAATGATACCATCAAGAGAAGCTCAGTGCGGCAGATCTGGAGGCTGTACTGAAACTATGGAGGGTCCTTCCAAAGACCTCCCAGCTATACTTCCCATACCCTCATGGCTGACTCTCCCTTGCTGTGTCTGAACCAAACCTCCCTCCTCCAGTCTCTACTTTAGTGAGACAGTGGTGAGAAAAATGACAAGAGCAGTGGCAGTGGTCGAGACAGCAGCATGTCCTGGGCACTCACTATGTGCAAAGCACAGACTTAGGGGTTATACACACTACCTCATCTGCCCTCACAAGGCCCAAGTGATGGCATTGACACTGCTCCCAGTCACAAGAGGAAAGACCAAGCTCAAAGAGGAGTGATTTGCTCAAGGCTGCATAGCTGGGGGAGCACAGAAATCCTGATCTGACTCCAAACCGTAACCCATACAGTGACCTGTCCTAGAATGAGGAGCCTGGGAGCACAGAGCCCTGAGTTCAAGTCCGGATTGCGTAACTCTGAGCAAGTTCCCTGGCTCTCTGAGCTCTAAACCTTCGACTTCTAAAATGAGGCAAAGAAAATCTCTCAGGTGACTCTGACGATGACTTACGTAAAGCTCCTAGCATTGAGCCTGACACTGAGCCTCCCAGCAAGTGTGGGCCCCCGCCCCTCCCCACATCTTTGGCCAGGTGAGGGTTCTAACATTATAATCTTTTCCTCTCCTCAGTCCTTGCTTAGAATGTAAAAGCTACAGATAAATTGCAAATATTATCCGTGAATWTTTAGTGACTAACTCTCTAAAGAAAAAAATAAGAGGGTTCCAGGCCCCCAACAGCTGACTATGAGAAACTACTTCATGTCATCTGCCAACTTTAAGGACAAGCACTTAAGGGCCAGTTTTGCATCTCTGTTGGAACCTGAAGTCGAGGTTTGCTGAAGGCAGAGAACAGCTGGTGAGGAAAACTCCTATTCCCAAGCAGAATATTCCAAAGCTGAACAAAACCAACCATTCAAGGGACAGGGATGGTCTAGGCTCATTAGTGTCAGGCTTCCAGGATTCGTTCCAAAGGGAGAAGATTTTACAAACTGAGAATCCCCAGTGATGCTGGAAACCCAAACACAGTAGCCCGGGGTCTGCAGATGTACCAGGAAGGAAAACTTGCTTTGTGCAAGTGAAAAAGTGAAACTTAGCTGAATGATTCCCAATCCCCCGCAAGAGCCGGGACAAGAAAACCATAACTTAAACTCTGACTTTTGATTTCAAATTTCTTTCTTGAGTGACGATGTTTAAGATATGCGAGTTCCACAAGCAGGATTGGCTTTCAAGGCATAATTTCTGCCTTGGCAACGTCCACCTAACAGCTCCAAGCGCCCCACAGGCCGGAGCCTAATAGAAGCCAGGCCCAGCAGGAGCCCTGTCCGGACTCTCGCTTCCCTGCCTCCCCCACTCTCCCCTGCCCTCCCGGCGCTGGCCTTGCACTTCCACTGGGCATAGAAATGAAAATAAGAAATGCTAGGGTAATTAGTCACTGTCACACACACTGAGAGGGTGAATGCGGCCTCGGCCTGGCATTTCCGGATCGCCACGGCTCGGCCTTTGCCAGCCTGCCTCTTGTGGGAGGCAGTTTCGTGGCCACCTATTGGCCTGAAAAATATTATTCTTGCTCTCATGCTGGTTTTTGTCTCTTGGGGGCCGTGGGCATTTGGCCTGCCCTGATCTGTGTCTACAACTCAGATGGAGGTGTCCAGTTACAGGGGGAAGTGAGGATGGAGACCAGCCCTGCCCTGGAACATGTGCCGAACAAGGCTGCTTCTTGTTCCAAGCTCATTCACCCCCCCCCTTTGCTGGCTGAGGGTTGATGAGGGTCCGCCCCGCCCAGACCCCTGCACAGGAGGCAGCACAGGGACAACAGGGGCCCCTAGGCCGTATGAGGGTTTCTGACCCCTGTCTCTGTGGACGTAAAGCTGCTAGCATTGAGCCTGACGCTGAGCCTCCCAGCAAGTGTGGGCCCCCGCCCCTCCCCAGGTCTTCCAGGAGAGAACGTGAAGGAAAAGAAAAGGACAAACTGCAAGGGCCAGTGGGGTTCACAGCAGGGAAATGGCTTCTGGAGGGTCACTGCCTTCTGCCATGCAGGGTGGAGTTTATTTTCTTGTTTGTTTTTTGAAAAGAAAAAAGTGGACTGAGACCTTCAGTTCCACGTTATGGATTCCTATGTTTTCTACCAAGTGCACACGGCACTTTTATAAGTAAACACAACATACATGTATAATAAAATTCAGCAGTTATGATAATGCCAATAAAAACTTTAAAAAATCTGTTTAAGAACAATCAATTTCTATCACATGGACTTAGAAAAATCACACATACATGGGGTGAACAGAAACATCTCCGGGATGTTTTCTTATAGGGCACCRCATGTCCTCTTCCCTGCATAGCCATTAAGTGTGGCAGCCTGTCCTGCCTCGCAGGACAGCATCCAGGAGCATGGGGTTGGCCCAGTTCTGTCACGCAGCCTGTCACAGACCGAGACTCCCTCCCTGACAGCTCCCCAGCATCCCCCAGACAGACTTCCTCTGTCCAGGAGAAATGGCTGAAGTCTGAACAACACCATGTGCTTGGAGCTCAAATGCCTGTTTGTCAGCCAGAGCCACGATGAATTCTGAGAACTGAGGGGTGTTTTCCAGCCCAGAGAAAATACCAGTTCGCAAATATTTGTTTTCCTGGCTTTAGAGCTAGCTTGCCATGCTAGAGTTCCTGCAGGTATGTGCCTAGCGGAGCTTACTTTGGTTAAAAAACAAAACAAAATCAATAGCAAATGACAGAGGAAGGAGGGGAGGTTGGTGATGGTAACTAGGAGCCTGCTAACTGTCACCTCCAGGACTAGAAGCTGGCATTAGTTTCTGGGAAATAAACACAGAGCTCAGACAGAAGGGCCTACGCATGGCCCTTCCTGGGCATCTCAGGGTGCCACCTGCCCGTATCACTGCCAGCTCTCTTGGCAGCAGAAGGGATGGGCAAACGAGGAGACAGAGGACATGATCAACAGTGGGGAGTAGGGGACCCAGGGGAGACGGAGGCAGGAGGCCAGGGACATACCTTGCGGTGTTTCACCACATAGTAGAGGATGGGTGCCCGGCTGCTGCCCTCGTGCCGAGGCCGCCACACCAGCTCGTATGAGTCTGTCTTGGAGGTCCGGGGCGAGCTCAGGATGATGGGGGCCTCGGCAGGAACCACTGACCCCTTCTCTCCTGGGCACTGCAGAGAAGCAGGCTGCACTGATGTTGGGGGTTTGAGGAGACCCGGTAGTCCCCTCAGCATCTGGTCAGGGCTGCCAGGTCTGGAGGGTAGTGCAGGGGGTGTGGCAGTGGCTGGTTTATCATCCTTCCAGGGTCTCAGGGTCGTGCCTGGGGACCAAGCAGGAAAGAGGCACAAAGAGAGAGACAGTGTGTGTGTTAGTGCCTCTGGTTACCTTCCAGGGAGAAAACTGAGAACAAAGTCAGAAAGAAGACTTGAGACCACCATCAGCCCACTATGTGACATACAGACAGGTTCTGTGGAAGAGAGGGCCAGTGTCCCTGCCCTGCCATGTCCCACTACCTGGCCAAGGCTTCTTGCTGCAGCTTGGGGCTACAGACAAGCATCTCTGCAACCTGCTGACTCCCAGTGTCCTCAGGAGGTGCGTCTTGAGAGAACAATCTCAATTTGCTCCTGAGACATGGAAACCCTGCACCTTCCTTCTCTGGTCTAGCTGTGTGTGTGTGTGTGTGTGTGTGTGTGTGTGTGTGTGTGTGTGTGTGTTTCTGGTGATGGAACTCAGGGCTTCATACTTGACAGGCAAGTGCTCTACCACTGAGCTACACCCCCAACCCTTCACCATAGGATCCTAACACCAACACAGAGTGGGCCATTTCTTTCTCCACTGAGGTGACCTGGAGACTAGAGACATGAAGGAAAAGGAATGCCCTCTGAGAATCTGGGAGCCATGAGCCACAACAATTCCTTCCAGAAACTTCCATAGACTCTGCCAGCACCAGCCTTCATCCCACCTGATCTTTACCACCGTGGGAAAGTGTCACTTGATAATGTTCACAAAGTATTGTTTTATTTATTTATTTTTATTTAACTTTTTTTAAATTTTAGTGCATTATAGTATATATAATATATATACATAATAGTGAGATTCATTTTTTTCCATTTCAGTCCCCAGTAACATCTTCTTTCCTCTTCTCCCTTTTCTGATCCTTCCTCTACTCTATTGGCCTTTCTTTTATTTATTTATTTACTGGTGCATTATAGTTATGTATAAAATTAGAATGGAATGTGATACATTCATACACAGATATAGCAAAGTTTGGTCAGTTTTATTTTGTTTTTTTAAACGGTTTCCTTGGTAGGTTTCATCTCTTTCATAGAAATGTTTTTGAAGGTGGGTGTTTGTCACGTTGCTCTGAGTCCCCCACGTTATCTAGCCAGTGCTGACATAGTAAYTGCCCAGCCCCTGGAGTCAACAGTTGGTAGGAATGAAGCTGAGGAGAGACCTGCTTTTCTTTATTCTAAACGTATTTCCATGGAACCTTAAGATCCCACAGATTCTGCAAGCTGATAAATGCACTTTGACTTATTAATAAGTTAAAGTAAAGTTGAATTGACAACTGAAAGCCTTCTTCATTTAGTTCAAATACTGGCTTTCTAAGTTGGACTTCATTTGAGAAAATGGTTGTGAGTGCGTTTAGCTGGAATCTCAGAGCCTTGGGTTGCACTCACCTGGCCTGGAGGTCCTCAGCTGGACCACGGCATGGGCACTCCCAACTTCATTCTCAGCCATGCACTGGTAGACACCTTCGTCCTCAGGCCCCACGCTGACCACACGCAGGGCCTTGCGGGACAACCGGAGGCGCTGGCTGGAGGTGAGGGGGACGGCGTTCCTCAGCCACAGCACGGAGGGCGGGGGATTCCCGCGCACCTCACAGGTGAGCTTAGCACTCTGGCCCCATGGGATGACCAGCTGGGACAGCTCCACAGTGACCTCAGGTGGTTCTGCAGGAAAATAAAAGCAGGTGTGGGTAGGGTTGCATCTTCTTTAGGGCCAGACAGCCTGGAAGAGGATGTGGCCGAGGGGCTGCCTTCTTCCCCAGGACTTTGATTTTTCCTAATGGGTAGGAGTAAAGGGAAGGAAAGATCCACTTCTCCTCCATCAAGTCACAACAGGAAAGGGACTAAAGAAGGCCCAGATCAGTGGGCCCTTGCCCCAGCATGGAGAATCTCCAGCTGTGGTACACCTCCACCACTCACTCAGCTGTGGCCTTTCAAAGACTAACTCTCTGACCTGGAGTCATCTGCTTCTAGAAAGGCCACACAGACCAGAGAGAAGGTCAAGGGCTAATGAGGCACTTACCAAATACCTGGACGTTGTAGAGAATGACGGCTGTGCCCGGCTCCCCCACCCCATTGCTGGCCATGCAGCGGTAGGTGCCCGAGTCCTCCTCACTGGTGGTGTCGATGAGCAGGTTGCCCAGCAGGAAGCGCGTCTTGTTGTAACCAGCGACACTGGACCCRTCCTTGGCCCAGGTGACTCGAGGGGGTGGGATCCCGCTAGCCACACACTCCAGGATGAGGCTCTGGCCTTTAGTGACAATGACAGTCTGGGCCTCCAGGGGGTAGATAATGCGGGCAGCCTCAGCAGTGGAGCCTGCAGAGGAAAGAAGGGGAAGAACGCAGAATGTGTGGGACTTGCACTTGCTGCAGATAGTCACCTCCAGCCTGCCTCGGGGGTGGGGGGGGGACCTGGCCCCAGGAGGGGGGGGGGACCTGGCCCCAGGAGAGCCCCGGGGAGCATGGATTTGGATCAAATAGCCCTTCAGAGGCTTATGACCTATGACCTACCTATGTAAAGCAGGGCAGACTATGTAATTCCTTATCAGAAATAAGGATTTCCTTCTGCAGAGAACACAACTGATGTGGTAACACTAGGTGTTGACAAAGATAGACGAAGGCATGGAGAGTGAAATGATTTAAATACTGGGAGAAATTTTTCCTGCTTGACCTCGGTCAGCACACCCTGGGTCTCTTCCCCAAGTGCCCTTGCAGTGTGAGCATCCCACAGAGCCCAAGGGGACCCACTGTTTAAGAATACATATTTTTCATATAGCAAGGTCCCCAAGTGCAAATCAACGACTTTGTCCAGTGCTCAGTGAAGAAGCAGCGATGTTTTTCAGTACCTGGGGAGAAGCTGCACAGAACTTACTGGAAGGTGTGTTGCTTTCCAATGCCCTGCCTTCCTGGGGGACCTGGAGTTTATGGACTCTGTGATTTTGCTTTATTGTCAATCAGGGGCAGATCTAGGTTTCAGAAACCTAAAACTTCTGCAGTTTGGGAGACCCTTTTAAAGAAAAACAATATAAAATTACAGATAAAAAATTAGGATAAAATGTAGCTTCAATAGCTTCAGGGAAAATCCTTCTCAGGTGCTGACTCTACGGACTAGCTCTAGCTGGGCGTGGTGGAGCACACCAGTAATCCAAGTGGCTTGGGAGGCTGAAGCAGGAGGATGGAGAGTTCAAAGCCTGCCTCAGCAACTGAAGGAAAGCAACTCAGCGAGACCCTGTCTCTGAATAAAATATAAAAAAGGGCTGGGGATGTGGCTCAGTGGTTAAGTGCCCCTGGGTTCAATCCCTGGTACCCCCCCCMAAAAAAAAGCTACCTCCATGTGTGATGTCACTTCACTGAGTTTCTGAAACCCTAGAGAAACAGAACAGAAGAGGTAGCTGTTTTCTCACTTTAATGGAGGTACTGGGAAGACGGAGGTGCTGGGCACAACCCAGCATTGCAGAGCAGAAGGACAGGACTGGGAGAACACTAGGTGGGCAAAACTGGTGTGCAAATACTGTGTCAGCTGCTGAGCATCACCACCTTCCTGGCACACACATCCTAGTTGATCCCACTTGTGCAGCGACAGTGAAGGAAACTTGTCAATAGGTGGGAGGAAGAGATGTCTCCCACAATGTTCCAATGTGACCAACAAGCCCTCCACCTGCCTGAGCAAGGGCCCTGGGTAGGGAGGGAAAGGCACTGGCCAGAGACAAAAGGACCCTCATTGAGTGCTGGGTGTCCCTCTGGCTTTGCGGCTACCCCTCCACCCACAAGCACACAAAACTGGAGCTTGACTGTGATGTCCCCAATTTCCGACATCCCTTCCCAGCTTTGCCGGTCCCTCCATCAGTGATACTCCCCACCCCAGTAGGTGAGCCTGGCCCTTACGGCGCACACGCAGCCTGTCGCTGGAGCCAGAGGTTTTCACTTCCTGGGTCACGGGGTTGTAGGCAGCGCACTTGTACATGCCCTCGTCCTCCTGGCTGGCGTTGACAATCTGGAGGTTCCCTGATGGCATGATCAGGTAGTTGTCTGTAGAAATGGCAAGGGAAGGGGGAGATGGGATGAGTTTGGGCCCAGAAGGCGACAATCTGCAGCTCCCGAAGAGTAAGGAGTACAGGGTGGAGGACACAAGACCAAGCCTAAGATGCATGCACCATAAGACGTTGCACCAAGAGGGACAGAAGTGCCAGGGTGAGAAGCTCACTGACCAGCTAATGGCTGGCTGGCTGCCTTCCAGTTAGGGAGCATCTGTGGAAGAGTGTTCAAGGGAGCTGGGGGAGGGTAGGAAGAATACAGGGGTCAGACCCGGGGCTCAAGCTCTGATCTGCTGGATACTAACCATGTGATCTTGAACAAGTTAATCACCCTCTTGGATCCTGTTTGCTCTTTTGTAAAAAGGCTTAATGCACACACCTCACAGCCACTGTTAAGAATTAAAGGGCCCATCCTGTGCACATGGGAGAGACATGGTAATTTCTGCAAGCCACCAAGAAGGAGGGAATTGACTTTGGAACTTCGCAGGAGTCTCTGTCATTGTCACTGCTCTGAGCTACCTCACTATTGAATTTCTGCTGTTGGAGAGGAATATGCAAACTCTCAACCACTGCCCTCCCCATTGCTGCACATTGCTAGTTTTTCAGGCTTTGTCTGCTCCTGTTCCAGGGGTGCCATGGGGTGGGCCTGGGCATGTGTTCAGGTTCTTTAGGCAGGAGACAGATTCACAGCTTCTAGTCAGCTCAGCAACTGGGTGGCATTCATCTTCCTGGCAGGCAGAGCACTGGCCATCATCTCTGATCTTTGTCTTGGTGGCCTCTCTGGGGAGTCATGGTGTCACCAAGCCTGGTGCCTGCCTGCTGCTGGGCCACCCAGGTGTGAGCTTAGGCAAGTGCCAGATGGAGTGGCACCTCCCCTAGGGACTGTTGCCAAGCCTCAGCTGGGGACTTAGGGATTAATACTCTTCTCCTCTCAGTCTCCAGTTACTTGTAAGTAGTAGGATTAGGGTTTCTAACCTATTTCAAAAATAGCTTTCTACGTTTTCTATAATGAACATATATTCCTTTTATAACCAGAGCACTATAAAAGGTGCATACTTTGAGCAGGGTCACATCAGGTGGGGTTGACCTGGCCTCCAGGGCAGGGTTGTTGTAGGAAGAAATGACCTTGTCTCGCCTCTCTGCTGGCACTTTCTGAGCATCTTGTCTATTAGGGTTTATGAGGATGAACTGTGTGGCCCTCATCACTGCATGGGTGTTCAATGTGGACCAAAGGGTCGCCTGCCCTGGACCTGCTGTCACGCCCACTGTGGCCTGAGGTGTGGCTGCCAGGACAGCACAGTACTGGGTAAATGGGAGAGGAATGTCCATTCCACTGAGGAGGTTGCTATATGGGAACACTCAGTTTGTTAGGTGGCCTTTCTGTGTGTGTCCGGTGGCAAGGGGCTCACACAGCAGGCGTCTGGAACAATGTGCTAAGCGTCCTGATCAAATGACAGCAGCTCAGCAAAATCTTCCAGGACCTCAAAGGATGAAGAAATTCTCCATGACAGGAAGAGGCCTTCCATAAGGAAAGCCACCCCTGTGGGGCCCCACAGGGCTAAACGTCATGACAGAAGACAGCTGGTCAGCCTGGTCATGGGCCTTGGGAGGTGGCAGCAGCTGACACAGTTTGGTTGGGTAGGGAGGGTTCTGAGGAGGACAGATCTCCTGGCCTTGCCTCTGAGCTCTGGCTCATTTGCTCACCTCTGGAGGCCTCTAGCCACTCTTGCTTGACACTGTACCGGACCTGGGCTTTTGGGTGGCTCTCAGGCAGGTGGCAGGCAATGACTGCGGTGTTCCCCTCGTCCACTTCAATCACATGCTGCACATCTAACTTGAAGTCCTGGAGATCTGTGGAGAGAAGGGAAGGTGCTGGTTAGACCTCAACAGAGGAAAACGATAGGGTGGCTGGCGTTAGTCACAAACAACAGTGCAGAACTGGACGCTGGGTCTTGGGGGCAGGGTGCTGAATCCTTTCTGAGCATCTTGTCTATCGGGGGTTATAAGGATGGACGGTGTGGTCCTCATCACAATGGGTGTTCAACTTGGTACACATATAAGACATGAGCTGGGGAAGTACAAGGAATTATATCAGGAAGTGTCTCCAACAGACCGGGCTCTTCTGTGACACTGGGACTTGGTGGTGAGTTGGCCCTGTTCTTCTGCACTAGACATGGGTCATAGTCAAGGCATAAATAAATGTCTGAGCACAGCTGTCAGGAGGCTCAGCCAACGGCGATGGAAGAACATGATGAAAGAGAATGTTGAAGCCTTTTCTCCAGTTCAGTCGAGAGCAGCTTCCCAGGTTCTTCCTCTTAGATATCCACAGTGAAGAGCGACAGGCCCAAGATTTCCACTTGACCGCCAACCATGGTTACAGACAGAAGGCCRATTCCTGCTCCCAGGAGCTACACTCCATGTCATGACTAATTCTTCCTAGGGCTGGGGCTAGGACTCTGTGGATGCCCTAGGGTTCCCCTCGGCAAAAAAGGGATCTCCCAGGACAATAGGCAACACCCCAGCATGGTTTAAAGGCAGTGGCATGTGGGGGAACCCAGGGTCCTGACAGGAGGCTGCTGTCTCTGGCAGCTCCATGGCCATCTCTTCTGTCTTGGCTCTGTGGGAGGAAGACTAAGAGCTAAACTGGGAAAGGATGGAGATTCATCTGGAATAAGGGCAGGATGTTTCCCAAACAATCCGAGAGTCCAAAAACAGATCTCTCTTTGTATGAGCCAAATGACTGATGTTGCTGGACAAAACAGGGGCCATTTGTACAACAAAACCACACTCCAAATTGGAAATTTGGTTTTCAGGAATGGAGCTGAATTTGTTTTAAAAGAAGAAACAAAACTAATGGAGTATAAAGTAGGAGAGATGAAAATCGTTTATCTAGACTTTCTTCATCATGGTCCTCAGAGAGCCCTGGAAGTATCTCTCAGAATGCTGACCACACCAAATTCTGCTCAGCCTGGAGGACTGATAGCATCAGCATCAGGGCTTACTGCAATTTCACTGCAAGATTCCACCTGCCTGTTTGTTGTTTCCGCCAGAGACCAGGAAAAGGCAACAGGAGCAGGCGGGAATTGGATTTCTCACAGAAGATAATTACCAAAAACAAACAACTGTCACYACAGGTGAGCTGTGTTCAAGGTATTCAGTGAGGTTAAAGAGGCTTGTGACTTGATGGAACTTTCCAGAAGCTCTCAGTCAAGCCAAGCCAGCACAGGATAGAGCCTCCTTTTTCTCTGAAAGGATCATTGTCATTTTGATTACAATGTTGACTGTGAACTCCTTAGGGGCTGGGGACCAAACCTTGTTCACATTTGTGTCTTCTAAGCCTGAAACTCAGCATGATCCAAGTAGACAATAAATGTTCACACTTGGAGACCGAGCCCCACCAGTTAGGTACGAGATGCCCATTTATGCATCCTATGAATCCAAATTTCCTATTTGAGTTTGGTCTATGTCATGAGCTCAAGGATGAAAGCTAGTACAACAAATACAAATGTTTCAGGAACAGTTTATCAAAGTGTGGCCAATAGAAGCTATTTTGAAAACAGAATGTTTCTTGAGAGGTCACTCCTACAGTCACAGGAAAGAGGTGAAATTGTATACCAAGAATATGTGCCATTCATAAACAGGGTAGATGACGGACAGCCTGGCTTTCTTCTGTTGCCCCATTTCACCCTTCAGGCAGAAAGAGTGCCACCTATAGGCCAGGGTGAGCTGTCTTAGATTCCTTCCTGTGGATGTAGGGCCTCCTGGGCTTTTAAATAATTATCTCATCATTATTTAATTTTTTGTGTGTGATGTCTGACCCTGTTATAAGTGCCTCGTGGGAAGCCTATTACTTTTGGACTGCACACCCCAACCCTAAGCAGCTATGTGGGACACACAGCAAATGCTCTTCAGATCCTTCTGGAATGGAGACATAGTTCAGAAGGCTGAGCCCAAGGCCAGCTTCATGAGCATTCAAGCCTTTGGAAAGGGTCAGTGCTTGATTTAATACTCTGCTGTCTCCATTTTAACATTCTTCATCAGGTTTGAACAAGGGGCCCTACATTTTATTTTTGCATTGAGCCCTGAAAATTATGTAGCCCAATCCTGATGGAGTGAGTCAGCCAAGACAGCCAAGGAGTTTTCTCTCTGAGAAGACGAAGATTTGGACTACGGGAAGGGGGCTGCAGAATCAATGCCTTCTAGCTAAATGTCAGTAACTTTGCTTTTTAAAAGCAATTAACTTAAAAAAGAAATGCTGAGGTCTTAAGCCTCTTTTAGGCCAGTGTGTCCTGTACCTGCTAAGTCAGAAGGCTTCTCACAAAGCAAGCTATGAGTGACTGACTGTGAGCTCAGGGTATCTGGAAAATTCCTCAAGCACTGAGAAACACTCTCTTCCACGGTCTAATAAATTCAAAGCTACTCCACCAAGGGTTGTTGTTCTTTTTATCCCCTCTTTTTCTTTACCTCATTCCAAGGAAATTTGCCTCTAGCAAGAATGTACTTAAACCTAACAGATTATTTTGCAAGATGTGAGCAACTGAAAGGAGTTTGGCATCAGAATGCTATCTCCATTTTAATGGCCCCAGGCTCCTGCCTACTATACTTGAGAGCTAATCCAGGCACGGATCATGCACTCCTCCAGGGGCCCACCTCACAGACCCCATGCTAAAAACACTGGGCCTCCTTAAGCCCCTCTTGGCTCTTGTTGCCTCCTCTGACAACTGCTTGGGTGGAGACAGAAGGCTGTGCGGTGGGGGAGGTACAAAGCTGGGCACTGGTCAGCCATTCTCCCCTACAGCCCCTCTGTTCTGATGCCAACATGTGTGCAACAGCCCATGCAGACAGGACCCAGGACACCCCAGCTGGGCGTCTAGATCCCCACAAGCGCCCACTGGCAGGCGAACTTTCCTGGCTTCAAAACAAATAAGCGGCAGTTTGGTCCTTGGCTGTGTCCCCTCCCTGTGCCTCCTAAGCTTAAGCCTTAGCTGTTGCTTAACTAGACAAACACTCCCAATTTGGCTGCTGGAGTAAAACTTGAGTTTCACTAAAAGGATCAAAGACAAGAGTAATGAAGTGATGTATGTTCTAAAAATCAGAGAGCTCCTTTCCTAGTGTTTTTGGGCAGGAAGGAGGCCAGAGAGGGGTGGAGACTTCATGATCAATAATGGCCTAATCAGCCATCAGATGGGCAGATGCAGAGAGATCCAACTGGCTGCATATGAAGGAAAACAGCCTGTTCYCAGGCCCTTGGCTCTGCAAAGTCAATTTCCTGGCCGAGTCCTGGGCTGTACAGCAAATGGGCCCTTTAATTACTGATGGGGTTAGCTGGCCTCTGGGCAGCAGAGAATGGACCAGTTTTCCTAGGAAGTGGTTTGAAAGGACACCTGTTCCTTGCCTATTGGCTGGGATGTTTGAGAAATTTGTTAGAAGAAAGTTTTTGCAATTTTAAGCCTCTCACCTTTCCTCACACCCCTCTTGCATCTTGCCTCTGTGMATTCTTCCCGCTACTTCATTAACTTGTCCACATTAATCAAATGTCATTGGCCACTCTTGTTGTGTCTCAGTTCCCACGGGCCAAAAGTTCTGATCTTCAGAGCCACCTCTGGGTTCACAGGCCCTCTTGTCACAGAACTTGGTGCTTTCTGAGAAAGGCCATAATATTTTAGGCTCTGTACAGAACCCTGGCTGGGTTCCTTCTCAAAGCTCAAATTCTAAAGGGAAAATGTATCTTCTGATGTCTCATTGGCACGTACTCCAATGCCAAATGCACATTATAGGGATTTATTCAAACACACATCATATAATGTGCTTCCTGTCACATTTAAAGGATGCAAAGGACATACATGTTTTTGGCTATAGGGGAAAAAAGAAAGCAAATAAAAGACTTATAGATCCATGTGGTATGGCTGTCCGTACCAGGATCATATATGAAACTACAAATGGACAAATTTTATCTTGAGTCCCCGTGAACTTCTTTCTCACCACCTTCTGGTCTCCATCCTTCCTTTATTAATAAGAAACAAAAGAGAAGAAGAAGAAGAAGAAGAAGAAGAAGAAGAAGAAGAAGAAGAAGGAGGAGGAGGAGGAGGAGGAGGAGGAGGAGGAGGAGAAGGAGAAGACGAGGAGGAGGAGGGGGGTAATAGAAGCAGCTCAATAGATCATGAATTAAGTTACATATTTAATAGAAGATCATGCATTCTCAGCACAAATTGTCAAATCTTAATTGTAGGCTTATCTCCCAATTTTAGTTCTTACATGTTCAGTTATAGGGTATATTGGATATTGGTTCAATGTCCCCAGTGTCATCCATAAACCTAACAATCCCTTTCAAGGCATTTCCTCATTCAGTCTTCTCCCTGTGTCCTCTCTTAGGCTGCAAATCAAAGCTCTATTTTGTTGAGGTAAAAAGTCAAATAATATGGCATCTTTGGCTGCATGTTGTAGGGACCCTCAATATCTCCATCTTGACAATTCTGGTCTTTTGGCCAACCAGGTGTTCCTGCATATAGTCCTGTCTTACCCTCCTTCCATGTTCTCAAGGATTGTGAGACAAGCCTGCACTCATCTGCTGAAGTTTGAATGGGACCCACCAGATTATGGGCACTGCATGGGGCTCATTTGGTCATGCTGCCAGGATGGCTCGGCAGCCTCAAGGCCATGGGCAGGTTTCTGTGCTGATGGATAATTCTATTCCCTAGCCCTCATGGCCTCCAAGCCTTGAATTGTTCCTGTGGCAGCTTGCTATATCTATGCTGATGTTACAAAGCTCAGAAAAATTTGGCCTTAGTGGAGTGCAACCAGGTAGCATGCTGACCCTCTGGTTCTTCTCTGCACCTCAGGCTCTTTTGGAG